TTTAATCAAAGAAATAAAACATTCCAGTTAATGTTGAAGCCTCCTTTGTTCTCCTTCAGCAAACTCATTCCTCACCCTCTCCTCAGAGACAACCACTATCATGAATTCAGCACATCTCCTTCCAGAGTATTTAAAAATATTTTGCGAGCATGCGTGTTTTCATGAGTAACGTGTGTGGCTGTGTGCGGCTCCACATTGTACATGTCGTCCCCTAATTTGCTTTTTAGTACAACCTTATGTGTTTTCCATCTCTCCATGCTGTGTGGAAAGAGGGAGCACCTGCTGAGTCTCTTCTCTTCTTCACTTTTCCATATGTGTGACTGTAAAGATAGAACAGTAGCCAACGTGCGCTTTGACCACATGCCAAGCACGATTTTCTCATTGAATCCCCACAACCCCTTCGACCCCCTCGCACACAGGGACCTGGGGCTGCAGGGACCCAGCGTGTGCCAGGGGTCAGCTTGTGATCCGCTCGCGTGTGTGATCTCCCGTCCGGCATCATGACATCAGCACATAAGTGAGGGGCTTTAAAACCCTGGGACCCAGGCGACAGGGAGGAGTCGGTGCCCCAGCCTCTCCATCAGAAAGTTCCTCGGGCGCCTGGGTGGCTCAGTCGTTAAGCGTCTGCCTTCGGCTCAGGTCATGATCCCAGGGTCCTGGGATCGAGTCCCACATCGGGCTCCCTGCTCCGCGGGAGGCCTGCTTCTCCCTCTCCCCCTCCCCCTGCTTGTGTTCCTGCTCTCGCTATGTCTCTCTCTGTCAAAAAAATAAATAAAATCTTTAAAAAAAAAAAAAAAAGAAAGTTCCTCACTGTGCCCTTGGGTGGAAAGAGTGCCAACAGTCATGAAATCTTGACACCGGGCAGCGCTGGAAAGTGGACAGGTGACTTCTCTTTCTGCCTCAATGTCTCACCTCAGAAATGGGATTCCAACGAGCTGCCTAGCTACCTAACAGATTGCTGGGGACCCAGCGTGATAGATTGTGATTGGGAAGGACTTTGTAAGCCCCATGGTGGTCTGCAAATGGAAGACGCCGTTGGACAGCTCTGGCCCACCTTTTCCACTCCTTAACAGACCACCTACCCTATTCCAGCCACACGCCCCCGATTTTATGTGCATGGCAGTACTTAATCCTCGTTCCTCAAGCAGCAGCTTTAGAGAGACTGTTCATAAGTAAGCTCTTGTTTTCCTGGCTTGTTTAATTACTACTATGGCAACAACGTCATTTTCTTTCTTTTTTTTTTACTTCATATATATATATGTATAGTATTTCAGCCTCGTTATGGGTTAAATTGAATTTTATGGGTGGCAACCCAATCAAAATTTATAACTTTTTCTCCAGAAAAATTGCTTCCAAGCTTGAAACAACCGGTTATAAGGGAAGCTTTGGAACACTACCAGTTTGTGAGTTGGGACCAAGGTACTGTTGACACTGTTCTCTACTTAGTTCATGGAAGGATAGCTGATCTCCCCAGAGAGACTATGAGCCTCAGAAGGGCAAGCACTACATCTCACACGGATCCCCCATAACACTCGGGTGCCAGGCTCAGGAGTATATTGAATAGATGCTTGCTTAATTCTTCCAAAGCCCAGCTGCCTTGTCTGCCTCCAAGAAATGGGTGCTGATGGGAGTGCCTTGGGCGCCCCTGGGAACCCATGCTGTACTCAGTAAATCATAGACTAGCAAACTTGCCTCACAGATGAGGCCCAGGAAGCACTGTGTCTTATCCAGATTCATTTGGCTGAATGGTACTTGTAATAGTAATAACAATACCATCTATTTTTTTTTTTTGGTACTTTAGCAGTTAGCACTTTGTTCTAGATGTTTTATATTTGTTCATGTATCTGTCACCAAAAAAAGTTAGATATTTTTATTATCTTCATTTTACAGATGAGGAGACTGAAGCCCAGAGAGGTTAAGCAGCTTGCCTAAGGTCACAGAGCTAGGAAAAGGGCAAAACGGAGATTCTAACCCAGAGCCTGTGGTGTCAACCAATGTGCCAAACCACTTCTTGTTCATGATCTGTATTAAAGCCTTGAGCAGTAGGCAAGATAGGTACTTTAAAAAAAAAAAAAAAAAACTTACATATAGATCCTACCAAATTCAGACAGTACAGAAAAATACAAAAGTCTAGGAGATGGGTCTGTAAATTCTTTCATCCAAAGCTAAAGTCTTGATCAACAATTTGGCAAACATGCCTATAGATACGTCTCTCTGAACACATCTGTGTGTAGATACATATTTACAGTCTCCTGTACTTGGGACCTTCCTCGAGCTGCTCTTCGGTGACCAGCTTTGGACAGGAGACTGGAGCTCAGGAGAGGGGAGCCCAGCCTCCGGCGCCAGCCTTAGGACTTCAGTCCAGGGTGGGGCTTTCTGTTTTGTCCCAAGTGCTCAAAGCAGAGGCCACACATATTGTCCACACCCGTTGCTCCTGTGTAGACACTCCCTCCCATCACCCAGTTTTGGCCATGCGCCAGGGGGGTGCCGCGCCCCTGCGGCTCCGTCATCTTCCTGAGCATGTTGCCTACTAAGGAAGGGACCCAGGGTACTTGGCGAGGAGGGACATTTTATACAGCTGTCAGGAAAGCGCAATAAAAATGGCAGTGGAGCCTCTCGGGGACCGAATGATGGTGGTAGTTCCCTGACACCGTGAGGTCCTCGAGTCGCACAGTGATTGCATATGTGGCCCCGATGTGGACTTCCCGTGCCCCCTTATCACTTCCCCGTCGAGCAGCATTTAAAGTTGTTTGGAAGCAGTTGAGGGCAAATGGGATCTGATATTTGAGGAGGGAGAGAGATGCCCATTACCTCATCCTAACCAATGTCCCTTCCTACTGATATTTTGTTTTAGGGTTGGTATCCAGTTTTGCTGAAAATGAAATCATCTTTCAACTCTCAGGCTGTGTTAGTGAAAATGAACTCTAATGTGATTAGATATTAATGCAGTGTAATGGAGGATTGGTATTAAATTGAGGCCTTCTGATCTTATTACTCCACAAATGCTCCCTCCCTGCTCAGGCTGCTGACCAGCCAGCCCCACTTCCCCAGGCACAGGGGAGGGGCGGAGGTGCCCAAGCCCCGAGCCCACAGTGGGAGCCTGGCTCTGCCCGAGGCCGCTCCCGGCCAGCCCTCCCTTCCTTCACTGCCTTGGGGTCCCTGCCGTGTTGTGGGGGGAGCAGGGGTTGGACCTCAGGAGGCATAATTTGGATCTGCCTGCACCTTCGGAGCCACGAGCATGTTGTTGAGGATCATGGGCTTGCAAGTGCCAAGTTTCACCTCCACATCCAGAAGCACTTGAAGATTTTCTGGAGAGGCGTGCAGCCAGAAATCTAAGAACACAATCTTCACCTCCACCACGGCCCAGCCCCTCTGCACCCCAGTCCTTTTTGTGAAGCTGACTTGAACATGATAGTTGTCATTGGCTGCTATCACTTGTCCTGGCCCTGTCTCCCTTTCCTAGGGGGCTGGTCTGAGACGCAGGCGGTGGCCCAGCCTTGGTGTGTGCCGTAGCTTCCCTTAGGAGAGGGGATGGGCGTCGGCTGCCCCACGCTGCATGGACCCCTCACTTGACCTGCCGGAGGAAGGACGCCCGTCTGTCAGCCACACAGCTTGGCTCAGAAGTGACGGGTAGGCCTGTGGGAGCCCAGGCCCAGGGCCAAAAGCCCCACAGGGCCTCCCTTATAGGCCTGCCCCAGCCCACAGGCTGCATCCCACCCCACAGATGCCCCAAGGGAGCTGTGTGGGTTTGGGAGCAAAACAGACCGAGAAAATGGGCCAAGAGTGCAGGCTCTAGGGATGGTCAGATGGCATCACCTTCATGTATGAATGATAGCATTTTTACAAAGAGAGTGATTTTTCTTATGCTATTTCCAGAAAACTGCTTTCAGAGGCACAGACTTTGCACACAGGATGGTAATGACTTTTTAATGACCTTAAGGGGCCTGGGTGTCCAGGCAGCAGTGAATCAATCTCAGTGGGAGGCTCACAGTGAGAGAGAAGCTGGAACACCTGAAACCAAAGGGGGAAAAACAAACCACAAACATATACATTTTCTTTGGTAGCATTACTTGGTAATTAGACAATTACAGGAAACAGCTTCCCAGCAGTTGGCATTTCCACTGTGTGAGCGGAGGAGGGACGGCAACAACTGTGAACTCCTCACATTTATTACAGAAAATATTATTGGAGTTTACAGTTGTGGGTGCCGTGCTCTCCTCCAGCGCATTCTGATGAGCTGTGAGCATTAAACCAAGAGCAGAGCTCCTCCTCTCCGGGGCTGTTTAGGGCCTGCTTGGCTGGGCTTTAAATGAGCTGGCTTTTGAGCCCACCCAGAGTCTGGCTGGTCCTGAGAGTAAGCCCTGGGGGGCTGGGGGATGCATTTGGAAGCAGGAAAGGGGAGGCGGAGGAGGCCTGTGAAAAAACCGCCTCTTCTTCCCCAGGTGCCATCCCCTGCCTGGGGCAGGGTTCAGACAGAAGAGCCTGGGGTTCACATGGCAATGGGTGACCCCCACTTCTCCCTCCCCTTGCCCTGCCCCACCCAGTCCACATTCCTGCCCTGGTTCAAAACTCTCGTCCCTGAACCCCCCACGCCTCTCAGACGCACGCCCACTCAGCCAACAGCCCCCTGAGGTAGGCCCATCTCACAGATGAGGAAATGTATTCGGTGAACCCCCACTGACCTTGTTCACTTTTCTCTTTGGCCACACTCGTGTCACAGTGTGAACTTGGACTGTACCTTGTGCCTGTTTATGGGGAGCTTTGTAAGAATCCCCGTTGCCTTCGCAGAAGGTAGCGCTCTGAATGGGGATCCTAGCTACTGACCGCCTCCCTCAGACACACATGAGGTGGAGCCTGTTCCATTCCCCCATCCATCCTACGTCACAGGCCTCCTGAGGACGGAGGACAGGAGCCCTCAGCATCTAGCTCCTCCCGCCTGCGCTGTTGGCCCGGTTAACTGTACCGTCTAACCAGGCACATGGTTGTGCTTCCCCTCACAGGTCCTGGCAGTCTGTAACTTTTGAAAGACAGCCCGCCTCCTTCATCCGAATCGTGGGAACACACAACACAGCAAATGAGGTAAGGGTCTCTGTTCGTGAGCAACACTGTGCTGGTTCATGATGGACAGGTAAATGCTACATCCCGAGCTAAGTGGAACTGTTTGTTCTCCCTGCTAATGGCCTGTTGTTCAGACAGCTTGGTACAGAAGAAAGTCCTGCTCTTGCACAGTAGAGATATCATTATCATTTTTGGATGTGTCTTCACTAGGAAATGAAAGCCAACTCCTATGGCCTTGCTTCCCCCCACCAGCCTCCCTATGGAATCGGTGACCACAGAGACCTTGAGAGGGCACATGCCCTGTCCTCAGAGTCTTCCACCCTCCCAGACGACAGCTATTTCAGAGGTCGCTTGGCCCTCTGAACATGGTGTTTAAGGAAACTCGGCCCCAGACAGTTGCTGGTTTTCTGTCTATCCTGTCCTATGCCAGGCTGCACAGAAATGCTTATGAATGGGCCTGTTCCTCCCCTGGCATCCAGGCCTGGATCATTCCAGGGGACCATGCTGTTTGTACTGTTCCTCCACTTTGGGATTGCATGAGGGAAGAGTGGGCTGGTTGTTTTGCCCCATTTTGAGCACCCACAGTCAGGGCAGCAGTCAGGTGCGGGCCTGAGCCTTGAACATTGCCATGCTATTTTCTCTGGAATGTAAATGGCCCCAGAGAAATGCACTGGGGTTCCTCTGGATCAGAAAACAGAGGACAGGAGGCGTCTGGGTGGCTCAGTCAGTTAAGCATCGATTCTTGATTTTGGCTCAGGTCATGGTCTTAGGGTCGTGGGATCGAGCCCCGAGTCAGACTCCACACTGGGCGTGAAGCCTGCTTAAGATTCTCTCTCTCCCTCTCCCTCTCCCTCTGCCCTTCTCCCTACTTGGTCTCATGCACGCTCTCTCTCTCTCAAATAAAATCTTTTTAAAATATTAAAAATAAATAAAGAAGAAAAAAAAAGAAAAAAAAGTGCCCTTGGTGAATAGAGAAACCAGGACACCTGAGTGTGAGGGAGGGCACTATTAATAATTATACCGGGACAGCAAGTGTAAACCAGGACTGAGCTAGACATACCTGGACTGCCCTCCCCCGCACAGCATGGATTCCCAGTGGGCTTATGGAGGCACCTGGGCATTCACGCACACCACCTAAGGCGAGACTAGTGCCAATCAGCTGTAAGTTAACTACTTACCTTTCCTGTTCTTTGGGTGTTGAGTGAGCACTAACGGCGAGACAGTGGTATCTCGCGTTTGGCCACGCTGTTGACTTCATCTGCTTATCACGCCCTCGCTTTTTATGCAGTCGTGTGTGTTTAGTGTGAACCTCTGAAGGACTGCTGATTAAAGACAGGAATCATAAGGAAGAGTAAGGCTGAAACTCAAGAGGGAAATGAAAGGCATCAGAATAGTAACCGCTCTGCAGTTTCACCTTAAGCTGCTCTCTCAGATCTGTCTGGGACTGGCTTCCTGGGCGTGTGACCAGGGCAGTTGCGTGGGGCTCCACACCCAGAGGGGGCTCTGTGCTTGGGGTTTAATGCTCACCAGCACCATCTTGAATTCTTCATAATTTTACCTATGAATTTGTTTTTATAAGGGCAGCCGCATGGGACAATGGCGCATTCACCAGAGGCTGGGAGCCTCAGCTCCCACACAGGCCCATCTCTGCCCCCTCTGGCCTTCCCAGGACAGGTTCTCAGCCACCCACCCCCTGGCCCCTGGTGCCTGGACCTGCCCAGCCTCCCCCTTCTAGCCTCCCCTTGACCACTGCCACCCTCCACTCCCTGTGGGGCCCAGCATGTTTGCAGGGAGGGTCCCGGTCTGGTATGAATCTCACCCGAGTCACAGGATAGGGCCCCGGGTGCCTGTGAGGGTCTGCCCTAGCCTTAGGAGTTCCCCTGACCGAGGGATTACAACATGAAGTAACAAAGGAAAACCCTGTGTCAGGTCAGGAGAGAAACTGTGGGAGGAAAGAAAAAGCTTTTTTCCTGCTTTTTGAATGAGAGGCTCTACATTTTCATTTTGTGCTGAGCCCTGCACATTAAATAGCTGGCCCGATTCATGCATTGTGTTTGTCAAATGAGAATTCTCCAGAACACGTCAAGGTGTTTCTGGTACTTCAAAACACATTTTAAAAAGTGAAAATATTGTGATAATTTATATTCATTTTGCCTTTTTATTCATTTAGAACAAAAATGATACATGCCTACAATGTGTTTCTTGCAGAGAAGAGCTGATAAACAGAAGCCTGAAACTTTCTCTCTTACCTCTTCATTTCACAAACCTGAAAATTATAAAAGTAAACAAATTGAGATTTTTTTTAAGGCACAAAATTAAAGAACTCTAAACATCAGGTCATAAAAAGCATTTTTTTTGATGAGGTAACAAAAGTAAATTTGAATCTGTATTTTAATATATATTTGAACCCCAAACCAAATATCATCATATTTTTAAACATTTTTTTCTTTTTTAAAAATTTTAATTCCAGTATAGTTAACATAAAGTGTTATATTAGTTTTAGGGGTACAATGTAGTGATTCAACAATTCCATACATTACTCAGCATATTTTTTAAATTTTGCCAATAAATCCCGATTTTTATGTGTTTATTATGTACCAAATTGGAAAACTATCTTTACATAATACTAAATCAAGGTAAATTGAATATTTTTCATTTTCAGTCACTTATTTCTTACCCAAGCAGTTCTGTCTTTAATTCCTCCATGGGGTTCTGCAGTTAGGTATTTCAGCAGAAGGAATTCTAGGTCAGAGGGGGCCAAGGAGCCACTGGGGTGAGTCTGATGAGGGTCTCCCAGAGTTTAGCCCCAACCCTATCACCTCAATGACCACATGAAGAACCATTTCCCATTACAGAACCCTGAAGTTGGAGTGCAAGATTGTCTCTTTCTGGATGAGTTTCCTGAACTGTCTGGGCAGGGAGCTCTAACCCCACTGACCAGCCCGTTTGAATGGGTTGACTAGTAGGCCACTAATTAATCGGTGATCTGTTGCATTTGGCTTATGAGCAATTTGCTCAGCTGCCCTTACTGAGTCACTTACTGTTCAGGGAAGAAATCCTGAATGTGGTGTTGCCAACTGGGGAACGTCCTAAAGCATAAAGTAAATAATGAACGGAATCATAAGGCAAGACCCACAAACTGCCTTTCTCAGAGCACATGAGAAGACCCAGAAGTGCTGAGTCTCCCTGGGAATCCGGAATATAGCAAACTCTCAAAGAGAGCATTCTTTTCTGCAGCATGCTAGTTTCTGGGGCATCATTTTGGACAAAGCATCACCTATCTTAGAGAACAGTGGGAATGTATACACGTCGGTGTGGTGATGTTCAGAGGTGTGAGAGACAAGGTTGCACTAGGGGAAGAGGGGTGACTAAGGTTGCTCGAGCAGGAGTCCTGGGGGTAAGCAGCCCCGGAGGAGAGGTCGGATGGCCCAGACAGCCAGGGAAAGGAGGCTGGGGGCACAGTCAGGAAATGAAACCAGCTGGGGGGTCCAGGACAAGCCCCATCCCTTGTCCCATGGAAGCCCCGCTGTCAATGAGAATATTGGGGTCAGGGTGCTTCTTTCTCACAGGTGAGGGTCGTAGAGGGAGAAGCAGGGTTTCCTCAGCCTGTCACTGCTTGTTTGCCAAGTGACGTCAGGGACCTTCGTTTAGTCAGAGCCGGGACCTTTAGATACTGAGTGTTACCAAGGGCTTTTGGTAATTTCAAGAAGTGTAGATGGAATTGGTTTTTAGCACGTGTGGGTAACAGAAAGAGAAATGTGGGTGAGTCACTTTGCCCCATCCCCCACAGAAGACCGTTTTCTGCAGGTGCTGCCCCATCCAGAGAGGAGGTCAGGCAGGGGATGGCAGGGGGAGCATCGCTCAGAGGCGCCTGTGACTTGAGGAGCGTGGTGGGGGTGGGGTTGGCTGTTGGGACAGAAGGTGGGAAGCAGCCCGCACAGTGTGTCCTGGGGTGGGGGCTACTGGCAGCTGTGTTGCTGTGGGGCTGGAAACTACCCCGACCCCCACATCCCGCCCGCTGCTGGAATAGCAGAGCCCCCCGCCCCCACCAGAGCTAAACCAGCCCGGCATCCCTTGCGCAGTATAGACGTGTGTGTCCTGCCCCCGAGGCCAGGCCGTCCTGCGTGCAAGGCTGACACACATGGGCCAGCCGCGTGCTAATTTCCCCGCTTCCCGGCCACCGGGCTCTCAGGTGACAGCAGCCCCAGCCACGGCAGACGTTCACATTTCTTGATCACCTGTTTCCGCACGCTTCTGATTTCCTACAGCATTTCATCCCTGTCCTCTGGGGGGTGTCTGTCTGCTGCTGGCATCTGCCTCTCATCTTCCTTTGTGAGCGCCGCAGCGAGGAATTCATTTAATTTTTTAGCTACCTTTATGACCCCTGTCAAGCAATTTCCCTACTGCTTACCTTACAGACCCCTCCCCTTCCATCAGTGACCTCCTGCCCCTCGTGTACTTGGCATCATCCTTGCCATTTATCTTAGCTCCCGAGAACATTCTCCTTTCGGTCCCCCCCAGCGTGTGCTTTGTCATCCTCTGCTCCATAATCTCCCCTGCGCCTGGCGTGCTTCTCGCATGGCTCGGGCCCCTCTCCTTTACCCTTGGACGCCTTTCCTGCACGTCTTCTGCGCACTCGCAGGGTCTCCTTTGTCTTCCTGTCACGCTTAGCACTAGATGGCAGACACGTGTCTTTCAGCACAGCCGCCCTCTCGTCCTCCTCTCCTTCAGTTGCTTCCATTTGTCTGCGTCTCCCCAGGGCCGGCAGCCAGAAAGGTCCTCCTCGGCTGCTTCCTCGGGCATGTTATGCTGGTCTCGGTGCCAGGCTGGAGATGGCGTTCTCATTCCAGCGCAGTGGCCCATCTGCCTCAACCGCTGATCAGTTCCGAGTGCCCAGGAGGCAGACGTTGCTCCCCTCTCCAAGCCTCTCTTGTCTGAAAAAGGGTAGAACCGGGGCCCTGGGCATGGCACCACCCGCGTCCTGGCAGACCCAAAGCTACAGTGCTGGTGACTGTGGCCAA